ATTACTTTTGATTATTTTAGTTTAGGCAATTTCAATAAGTCCTGTTTGATTATTTTTGATTATTTTTGATTATATTTTATAATTGACAGTCTCAATAAGTTCAATTATTAATTTTATTTCATTAGGCATCTTTAATAAGTTCTGTTATTCACTTTAAAACTATTTGTTAATTTATTAATTTCAATAATTTTTAAATTAACGAGAACAATAGACATTCCTCGGATAATGTTATTATCATTTTCTTTAGGTATGTCGATTAAATTGATCATTTGTTTCATTTTTCCGGTTAATCCTAATTCTTTCTGTTCTCATTTGCTCGTACCTAATTTAGTATGTGTTTTTACTGATGTCATTTCTTTAATCAGTAGAATAGGCAGATAGAGAGTCTGACCTATTTTTTCCTGAAGTATTATCTTATAGTCCTTTTTCAATCTATTTTTCAGAATAATTTGCAGATTTCCAATATATCCAGAGTCTACAATTCCTCCTTCAATGGTAATTCCTTTCTTTGCGAGCAATGATCTTGATGCTAATAGCATCATACTATTTTTGGGAACTTCCATCGCGATTCCTAGGTCGATTACAGTGATTTCTTCGGATGGTAAGGTGAGTGATTCTTTTTCTGAATAATATAAATTGAATTCAGCATCTGTATCGTGTGCTTTTGTTGATATTCTTGTATTTTCTTTTTTGATGTAGCATTTAAATTTTCATTCTTTTCCTTTTGGTCATAAGAGTTGATATTTGTTTATTTCAGGTGAAATTGGATCGTTGATTGGTTCAGCGAAGTATTGTTCTACTTTGTTAAACCAATCAGTTATTTTTTGCTTTCTTGAATTCCATCTGTTAGTTCCATGGAGGGAATCAAATCAGTCAATTGGTAGCGGTATGGTTGGGCGTGGTAGTCAGTTCCTATCAGTAAGATAATTCTCTTCCATCTGTTCGTACCAATCTGTCAACTCATCCCAATCTTCTTTTGAAATAGGTACCATCTCAGGGTAACAATCGTCACAATATTATTCCTGACACGGCATTAGACATTCATTGCATAGTTTAATTTTTATCTTGGAGAGTTCTTCTTCTTGTCGTGTTTTAGTCAGTGCTAAATGTTGGTAATTCTCGTGGAATATTTCTTGATTGTCAAGCCAATCATAACTAGTAACTTTGTCAATGAAGGTATAGTATTATTACAAGTTTGTTCACTAATCGTTAAATTAGCTTACAAACGAGAACCTGGATTGGGAGAGGATATAAACTGATAAAG